TAAGGATAACCATTCAACCTCCCTGGAGCACACAGAGGAGCTGGGAATGAGCAAAGATCACTTTGGTCCAGCTAAGGCACAAATGATCCCACAGCTCTCCCCGAAAAGCCAAGGGTTACTGCATTTCTTAGTGTAACAGGAGTTAGGTGGGAAGGAACTGAGTTGTCTTAATCACTCACCCTGAAGGGAAATGACCTCATTAGATTCAGAGAAGCTGTGGCTGCCCCATCCTTGGAAGTGTCCAAGGCCAGGTTGGAGGGGTCTTGGAGCAACCTGGGATAGTGGAAGGTGTCCCTGCCCATGGCAGGATAGGATTGGAACTACACAGCAGTCCTCTCTAAGGTCCCTCCCAACCCAAACCATTCCATGATTCTGTGGCCTTCTCAGGATGAGCTGAATCCTGACAGAGACATCACGGGTTGGGATGACAGAGGCACCTCCTTTTGGTGTCTTATCCACATGAAGGTGTGAACAACCTGTGCCACACAAACCTCACAGCTCAGTCCAGTCCATCTCAAAATTACTGATTATACCCCAAATGTCAGGATTTCAGAAGTGCTTCTACAAACCCAGCAAAGCTCCTCAGACTGAGCCTGAGAGCACTGAAGAGCTCGTTGCCACAGTTTAATTTATTCTTGCTGGTCATAGTGGCTTCAAGCTCGTCCAGGGTTGCTTCTCTTCCTAAAAGCATCCCAAACTAACAATGCTTCACCATAAGTGATCCAGTGATTTTAGGATAATGTCGTGGCAAAATAAACTTAAGAAGTGCTTTTACTCATCACTCCAAAAAAATTTCAGGTGGGGTGGCAAATTTCCCGGGAAGGGTGAGGAAGATGGAATTCCCTTCAATTCCAGCAATCCATATGTGCATTTTAATAGACCTTGCATGCCCAGGGAAAATTGGTGCCTTGTGAGGTTAATTTTTGTCTAAAACATGGGTAAGAGCAGCAATACAAAAGCTGAACTTTCAGTCTCTTCCAGAACAGTTGAACTTGTCTCACCCTGAAGCAGCTCAGGTCTCAAACTGAGCTTTCCTATGTGGAAAATACTCTGAAACTCCTTTGTGGCCATAGGAATTCTTTTCCATGCACCATCTTAAGCAGGACTGTGCATCAATCCAATGAGAAAAGCAGCTTTATTTTCTCACATTGTACAGATGTAGAGCTGAGGCCTCTCTCAGGTGCAGGCAAAAAATCCCACGTATTTCAATAATGTTCACTTTTTTAAAGAAATTAATGCCAATGGGAGAAGGGAGGTGAAAGCTAAAAGGCTTTTTTCTCAAATCAGGAGGAATCAACACATTTTTTAGCAGATCTCATCAGTGCTAAAAGCCCCAAAAATATCCTTCTTATAACTCCTCCTTAAACAGGGAAATGCTTCTGCCAGAGACTTGTAAAGCATCCAAAGGTGCCACAGAGTGAAGACTCTTGGGCTACATCCCAGATCCACCTGAAAATGGATAATAAGCTATGATGGAGTCACTGCTCTGCTGCTCTTGACCTTGCAGCAAGACGAGGTCAAATGCCCAGTAAGGAATCAAACTCCTCACTGAGGTGAGGGATGCTGGAAGCCTGGCTTGGAGAGCATGGATTGCTGCCATGGCCAGCCAGCCCCCATGGAAAGGACATCAAAGTCCTTTCATGCCACTTAAAGCTCAGTCTCATGGCTTCCAGGTAGCCAACAAGTGCTACTTGCAGCCTGCACGGCCACTTCTCTTGAGATGACAATAAGACAGGGTCAGGTTGTGAAAAAAATAAAAGCTTTGTTTGTTTTTTTGTGGTGGTTTTTTGGTTTTTCCCTCTTCTATCATACTTCTCAGAGAGCATTACCCAGGTTACAGGGATGCTTTCCTTTCCATCCATCTTGTGGAGGATGTTGGGAGATTAACCAGGTATATCTCTTTTCACAAGAAAAGAGACTGGTTTTCACTGTCAGTGCTCGACCTGGGCATTCAAGTTGATTTGCCTAAATTAAAAGCCAGTTACCTTCAGTGCCTAATGATGGAGAACCTCCCCTCATCCCAGAAAACAAACCAGTTGATTTTTTAGACCAAGATCATCCACAGTTGGGTCTCGTGTCCACCCTGCTCACCTCAGCAGCCAAGTCTGCCTCTCTGACTGGAGCTGGCATTCCACTGGGGATGAACTCCCCCAAATTCACTCGCCACAGATACAACCCTTATTCTGAATGACTCAGCTCTCAAAAGGAGAGAAACCATTTCAGAGAAGGGAATAGCCCAGTTTGACAGTCAGAAATCTGCCTTCATCTGATGCCTCCGTGAGCCCTGTGCATAAGAGGCAGAAAGTCTGGGTGAATTTGAAAAGGAATCAGGTAACTTTGGTTTTATTGTGTTTTAGCAGGATCCTGCAGCCAGGCAAGCAAGAATACAAACCATAGTAGCTGAATGCCCTGTGTGGCAGGATCACCATTAATCCCTATTCCCAAATACTCTGCCTCCCCTCATCTGCAAAACAGCCTTATTTGAGGCAGAGTAAGAGTCACTTAATAAGAAAGTAGAAAAGTGCAGCAATTTTACTATTCAGATACCCACAAACATCATCGTTTCCCTAATAGCCAAGGCTATAAACCTACCAAATGTTCACTCCCTGCTCCCATCTCCCAAGTTAGAGGGTGTTCAAGGAGAAACATGCATCAACCTCTGAAGGAAAGGGGTCAAGTGGCAAAGGAGGAAGATTAAGCCATGATTTGCAGCTGGGGAAGCAGAAAACGCTGCCCCAGAGGTCTCACCTGAAGAGCTGACCCCCCTGAAAAGAGATATATCAGCACTGCCAGCTCTGTGATTCATGGGGTGCTGCTTTCTGCTGGTGCAGCTCTCAGGAGAAACAGAGATTCCTCTAGAGCACTCAAGGCTGTTTGCCTGGGAAAGGGGGCAAGGGAAGGACATCTCAGTTCTAGGAGAGGATTGAGGGGAAAAGAGCTGCTGGTCCTCCTCTGCAGAGCACCCTGGAACTGTTTGTTCTGGAGACACAACAAACCAAATGGGAGGAACCAGGAGAGACCTGCTGGAGAATGGGGAGAAGGGATGAACCAGGAGACAGCTGGAGGAATTCTGGGGCTGATAAGAGGGGTAGGCAAGCATGGTTAAAATAAAAATAAGCTGCACTCAACTACTTGGACAATTAATGATAATTCTGAGATCAAAAATAATTAGTGCAATTAGTGCCTTATTAGTGCCTATTTATGTAACTGCTCAGGAAAGAAGGAAATTATCTAGCCATGGTTTTGGAGTGCTCTGAAGAGTCAAGGAATTGATTCTTAAATTAAAAAAAAAAGAGTAATTTAGGAGAGCAAACGTAATAGCTGTGTGATACAAGGCTTTCCTGGGCTAAGGATCTCCAGTGATTAAGGTGGTTTGTGCTGCAAATAATTTTGTCCATGTAAACATCTTTCCTGATTACATCGATCTCCACAGACTGACTCTGTACTCCTACATCCTCTCCAACCTCCTAAATTTACTTTCAAATCTTCTATTATTACTATTACTATTTTTAATCCTCTGGTTTGCAAAACTAGACTAGATGTGAATCAGGGCAGATCTGATGCCCTGAGGAAACCAATGGAGAGAGAAGACTGAAAACCAGTCTGAGAGTTTATATTGCACAGAGAAGGTCAGACAGGTCCATCAGACAAACTACAGCTGTATAAAGGCAATATAAAGAAATAAACCCCAAATTCCCCTTTCTTCACAGCCAAATCTCAGCAGGAACTTCTGTTACACACAGGAAATCGGAGCCACATCCTAAACACTTGATTTTTGCCTGCAAGCTGCATTAAGGGAGGCACCTTTAATAAATTGGGCTACGTTTGGAAGAGCCATTTTCATTCCCTAATTAGCACACGTGCAGTGAAAGCCAACTGTGTGTGTTTGTGTGTACACAGCTCTGGGAGAGGGGGTTAATGAACTGGAGCTGCTGCAACTGCAGCTGAAGTGTCCTTTTGTCAGTGTTGGGATGCTGTGATGCAGCTTTCAACCCCACAACACACTTCTCCCCCTGTGAAATATCCTCTTCCTTCTTCTTCTCTTTCATGGAGTCATAGAATGATTTTGGCTGGAAGGGACCTTAAAGATCACCCAGTTCCAACCCCCTGCCATGGGCAGGGACACCTTCCACTAGACCAGGCTGCTCCAAGCCCCATCCAACCTGGCCTTGAGCACTTCCAGGGATGGGGCAGCCACAGCTTCTCTGGGCAACCTGTGCCAGGGCCTCACCACCATCCCACTGGAAGAATTTCTTCCCAATATCCAATCTAAACCTGCTGTCTTTCAGTTCAAAGTCGTTCCCCTTTGTGCCATCATTACATGCCCTTGTCAAAAGTCCCTTTTTCTCTCTTTTCTCTTGTGTTCACGGACTTTGGCAAAGTGGAAGAGGGGTAAAAGGAAAGGAAAAGCTGCACAAACACTTGCTGTGGTTTAACTCCACTAAACTCCACAGAGCCAGTCACTCACTCCCCACTCACTGGTGGGGTGGGGTGAGGAGCAGGAAAGGCCTTGACTCTGTGTAATCACTGCTCTGCAACAACCAGAACATCCCTGGGTTATCCACACTGCTTTTATCCCCAATCCAAAACAGCCTCCTACTCACCACTATGAGGAAAATCAACTGCATCCCAGCCAAAACCACCACAGCATCCTACTCTGGCTTCACTTTAAAAACAAATCAAAAATCCCAAACAACGACAACAAAAAACCAGCAACCAAAAAAAATAACAACACAGGTAGACCTTTCACTGTGAGTCATCTTTTTCTTTATCTACCACCATTCTCTGCCACCTGAAACCAGCACAAGCAAAGCTTTATAGGATCAATACACATCTTACCACCATTAATCACCAACAGAAATAAAAAATAAAAAAGAAGTGAGCCTGACAAAAAATGCCCAGATATAATAAAAGGGCTGAAGAAAAGGTGAGGATAGATGAGGGAAAAAATGAAAAGGCTGGGACAAAGAAAGATCTTCAGCAATTTAAAATAAACTCACAGTCCATCCTGCAGCTCTTGAGTATCGTTTGAGGTCCCCAGAGATCGAAGACTTCTTTCCAGAGAAGTCACTGTCAACAGCAGAGAAAGAAAAGATAAAGCAGCAAGACACTTTTCCAGAGGAAAAAAAATACTGGATTTTAGTTCAGTTGTTTGTCTGTTAATTATATTTTGGTTTTTTTGGAAAAATACAGTGAAGTATTTGAACATGAGACAACGGGGACAACATCCAGCAACAGCCATTACCCCAGAATGGATAAACTGAGTTCCTTGGATGCACAAATGGTGAATCCATGGATCTGTGCCACAACATGATGGAATATGACCCCTTGTAACAGCAAGAAAACCTCCATCCCAAGGACCTTGCACAGATCTCTGACTCTTCCAGCCTTGGGATGGCACAGAGCTGTGCATGGAGCACCTCCAGCTGGAAAAGTGCCCCCAGTGAAGAGGCAAGAAATTGCATAATAACTGTTTATTGCTCTGAATAAAAATTAAGAGGCAGAACACTGATGTTCACTCTTCCTCCTTCTCTTTCAAGGCCTTAACACTCCAAATCTTTTCTATTTTCTATTTCTATTCTAAAATGGAGCCCTTCTCTGTGATCATCTCCTGTGTTGGAGCTGGGAAATACTTGGGCTTTTCCATCAGGAGAGAAGGATACTCTACCTTAAGGACATCTGGAAGGTGGAAATATGGTTTGCTTTGCTTTTAATGACTTCAGATTTAAGAAATGTATATATGTGTGTTTTTGTGAATATATAAAAGTAACAGAAAACCAGGAGCACAGTTGTCTTTTTACACCCTTGAATTTCGCTGTCTCAAATTCACTTCCAAATTAAAAACAGGTCACTACTTTTGGACTTAGCACAGCAAGTCTGAAAAGCATTTGAAGATTTTTCCGCAATGGAACACGTTAAATAAATTACATTCTTGATATTTACATGTGGGATTTTTCTCAGGACGCTCCCAGTTGTAAAAACTCATCACCCGTTATCAGTCACGCTTCAATATTTAAGGAAAGAAAGAGGAGCAGATTAGAAACATGGCTCAATTATTTCTGCAGAAATTTAGGAAATCCTCTGTTTTAATGACTCTGCAGACTTGGACTTGGCCTGTAACTTTGAAAAAGCCACTTAATTATATTTCCACTGACAGACAAAATCCTCTCCTCTCTTTTGGGCTCCACTGGCTTGACACCAAAAGTCACTAAATAGCACAAAAAGTAACTTATGTGCCTGGACAACATGAATATTCAAACAAACCTTGAACACAACCACGTATTTCTACCCCAAATGCTGGATCTCTCTAACAGATTTTAGTGCAGAGCTTGGAGATTCAGTAAGATAAAGCCTCAAGGAATTGTCTATTACTGAGCTAATAATTATTCTTCTTTGCAGGGAGCACAATGTTTTAAAGAATAAATTGGAATTTTTCACTAATAACCATTTGCTTCTGTAGAAGAACAGATCTGATCCTGCAGGGATCTCGTGGATATTATAATTCCTCCTCTTCCCTGCTCTGCAATCCTAAAAAACCAATCTCCCATGCAATCTGTATGCCGTCCATTTCAAATACAAAGTTTTGCCTCAACTGAAAATACTTCTGGGCCCATCAACCCTTGGGAACAAAGCAGAGTGTGGTCCTTGGAGAATGGTAAAGTCAAGGTAAAGAAAGGACTTAATGCGGACATTGAATTTGTAAGAACTTGTTAATGTCATGTGTGCAACTCCAGAAGGAAAAACAGCAGCTGGAGCATCCATGAACCTCCCCAGCCTGGCCTGCAAAAATCAGGACAAAACAAAGTGAGTTTTGCTACTGCCTGCTTTGGAGAAGATTTTCTACTGTAAAACACCATTCAAAAATTCACACACACATCATTTTACACTGAGGCAAATCCATGAGCTATCAGATTTGTTGAGGATTTTGGAAAACTTATATAAAAGGAAAAGAATCTGAGACATGAATGCAAGAGATGAAGAAAGCACTTGTCAGTCAGGTGAGAAAGTGACTCAGGTTTAAGTCCCTATCCAATAATTTTACCCAATATTCCAGTTTGAACATAGTATTTATACACTTACATAAAGGTCAGTCATCCCAAAAGGACAAGATGGGCTCTTTGGAGCAGTCAAAGGTCACCATTTGGTGCAGCTCTTACCTGGAACATAGTGGGACTAAGACCCATGGCCTGGGCTGCATCAAAACAGTGGATCAAGGGAGGTGATTCCCCCTCCTCCACTCTCCTGCCATGAGACCCCCTCCTGGAACACTGTGACCACCTCTGGGACCTGTTGGAGCAAGTCCAGAGGTGGCAACAAAGATGCTCAGAGGGCTGGAGCCCTTGTCCTATGGACACAGGCTGAGGGAGCTGGGGTTGCTCAGCCTGGAGAAAAGAAGGCTCCAGGGAGAGCTTTGGAGCCCCTTCCAGTGTCTAAAGGGGCTCCAAGAGAGATGGAGAGAGTCTTTCTAGTGGGGTCTGCAGTGATAGGACAAGGGATAATGGCTTAAAGGGACTTTAAGGCAGGTTTAAATTATGTTTCAGGAAGAAATTCCTGACTGTGAGGGTGGTGAGGCATTGGAACAAGTTGCCCAGAAAAGTTGTGGATGCCCCATTCCTGGAAGTGTCCAAGGCCGTGTTGGACAGGGCGTTGAGCATCCTGGTCTAGTGAAAGGTGTCCTTGTCCATGGCAGGGAATTTGAACAAGATGATCTTTAAGGTCCTTTCCCACCCAAGCCATTCTATGATTCTGTGATTAACTCTGAGTTATTTTGGGCTAAATCCAACCTGCTTTGATCACTTCATCAAAATCTGTGCAGTTCCTGTGTTGGGTGTGGAAAATCCCTCTCAATTTACCAGTCCCAACCATGTGAGCAGAAGCTCTACCAGAGAAGCAAAACATCAAGCTGTGCTGGGGACATGCTGTGAAGCCACTGTTAAAATAAGTATCTTATTTTAAAAGCCTTGTACTCTTCCTTTTTAACAGGCACACGCTGGTCCTGTAGGACAAGGCACATCCACAAGGAATCACTGCTGTTGGAGCTGCACTGATTTACAGAACCTGAGAGTTTCAATCTTTAAATCAATGGGGGATAAGAAACCAATGTGAGATGGCAAGGGGGACTCCATCACACCTGAGCTCAGCCCTTAAGGTCGAGGTAATGGGACTGTGCATGGCACCAGCCTGTTATGAGCAGTCATTAATGAGCAAGTAGCAGGAATTAGAGAGGGAAGAGACTCATTAGAGTACTCAGGTTCTCCATCTGGCCAGAACAGGTCTGATTCCTTCACTATATCCACCACTGATCAGACAGGATGCACCAAAGCAACCCCATTTAGGAGTTATTTATTTTACTTATTTACAAGACAATTAGTGAGAGGCAGCTAAAAGCTGTACACTAAACAAAATGCAAAACCTTGATAAAAATGCACTGAAAAAAAGAAAAAAGGCATAAATAAGACAACTTCAGCCAGCATTTCTACGTCCTAATAGGAAAAAAGTCAACTAAATTAAATAACCCATGAAAATTGCAAAAGTCAAAGCACTATCAAAAAACCTGGTCTAGTGGAAGGTGGTCCTGCCCACAGCAGGGGGATTGGAATTAGGTGATCTTGAAGGTCCCTTCCAATCCAAACCATTCTGTGACCCTATGAACCTTCCCTATGGTCAACAGGGACAGCCCCAAAAGATTTAGAGAAATAAGGCAGATACAAAGAATAGGAAAAATCTCCCTCTCTACCCCTTCACACTTTTGTAAGTGGTGGCATTAAAAAAAGCCTGTAAAGCTCATGACCTGGCAGGAGAGTGATCCAGTAGCACATAAACAGAACCAGCTGTCCTGACTAAGATTTTTATTCAACACATGAGGAAGATTTCCATTTTCACAGCAGAAAAAGGCAACAGGAATCATTGATGTGTGAGATCAGCCCCGATCAGCTCAGGGCTGTAAAAATCCCCCTTGGTCAGGAAGCAAGTCCTGAAGTGCCCAAGAAAGGGTTTAAATCACCCCAAAGGCTCAGAACTTCGTAAAAAAAAGAATAAGGAGTGCAAAGAGGGACAAAGCACACAGTGTTTATTACCTGTGCAGTGTTACTCCATAAAATTCAATGGTGCTTTAAAATCCAGGTACAAAGTTGACTTCTTGTTTCATTAAAAATAGTCATCCCCCAAAGGCAGAAAAAATACTGCTGAGATTGCCCACAACCTGGAATTTTTGGAATCAGAACAACAGCAGCATAACATGGTCAACTTGGGACATCTTGGAACAGCCTGATCCAGGGAAGGGGTGGAGTCCCAATCCCTGGAAGTGTTTGGAAACGGGTCGACAACGGTTTAGTGGCTTTGGTGGCACTCAGTCAAAGGTTGGACTTGGTGATCTTAGAGGTCTTTTTCAACCTTGATGATTCTATGATCCCATGGCTTTTAGCGTCCCAGGAGGGAGAAGAACCTTTCAGGTGTGTGGTTTGGTCTCCAAACACAACAGGGAACCTGAAAAACCCCAGAGGGGGCAGGGTAAGGCAGGAAAAGAAGGAAAAGAGGAGCTGTGATGGGATTTATGCAGCTTGTGGGATGTTCTACACACCATGCCCAGCACAGAAGGAGTAAAACCCCTGATCTGGTATAGGGCAGAAAGCATCATGGGCATTCTTCCCCATTTTCTAACCCTAAAAGTTTCTTTCCCTAAAGTGGCTTAGCTCTGCCAAATCTTAGCATCCATCTCCTGTAAAGCTCTATCCACTTTTTGGGGAAAGAATACAAAAAACACACACATAAGCTGAATGAAACTGACTTTATCAGACAAAAAATAATACAGGTGATGAACAGAGCAACAACAGTGGAGTATCTTATGGGCATTTCTTCAACCTGAAAGCACTTTAAAAGGCATTATAAATTCATAGATTCATAGATTTTAAAGGCCAGAGAGACCAATTCTGATTATCCAATTTGATTTCCTCCCATAAAACTTTGTCCTATCACTCCTACATCAAGACTCCAGACTGCAGCTGGACTAAAGTATATCTTATAAAAAGACATTTGAATCCTGATTTAAAGGTTCCAAGCAAAGCCAAATCCATCAGGTCCCCTCCATAAGCAGCTCTAATGGCCAGTTATCATCATACAGAAAGATTGAATTTGGCCAGCTTTAACTCCTATCTCCTGATCTCTTTCTGTGTGAGAACCTTAGATTAATGAGTCCTTTGCTATTTATTTGATGTCTTTCTTCCTACAGAGGTACTTACACACCCTGGTTGAGTCCTGTTAGATGTCTCACACAGAAATTTGGATGCCACGGATTTTAAAGTCTGGTTTCCAGACTTCAAACAGTTGCATCTCCATTTTTGCAAAGTAGTTTTAAGCATTTTAAATACAGGCACTGTCATTACCTGCTTCACAGAGCACTCAACTCAGGCAACTCTTAGCAGAAAACACATCATCACCATCTCAAGAGGAGAAACAGAGACCAAGAGAGGTTGTTCAAACCCTAATTGAATGGATTAATGCAATTCCAACAGAGAACGAAAAGAGAAATTGGGTTGTGGCATTTCAAAAAAGGGATGTGTCACTCATTTTGAGGTGTTCTCAGGATAAACTCCATGGCAGCAGGAGTTTTGATTACAGAAGAGACATACCAAGTCAGGCCTAACCTGGCTGGTTTGGATAATAGCTGGTGTCTGTGACAGCACACACAGGCCTACCACCAGGTTCCAAAGCTGCAGACTGAGCCCTCAGATTGGAGCAGAAATTTCTGCCATTCATCACTACCATTGTCAAATTAAAACTATCAGTGCTGGAGCAACCAAAACTGGTGCTACTGCAGGTATTTCTGGGTGTTCTGGTGTGGTTGTTCACCCACCTGCAAACCAAGTACCCGTGGTCACATCTGGGAGGTTCAAGCTCCCATAGGGGCCATAATCCCCTGTTTACATGGGTTGTGTGTCACCAACAGAAAGGGTACAAAACCCCTGTAGTCATGGAAAAATTGGTGCTGGAGTATTCCTGGCAGTTAGAGCATACACAACTCCTCTAGAGAAGAGATAACTGTGTTTCAGAAATTTTGCTTCCCATCCTTCTTCTAGCAAGGACTCTTTGCTGCAAGGACTGGGGCTCTGCCCCTGGGACACACTGGGAGATGATTATACAAACAAGGAGGCACTAAAATCCTCTCCCTACACCAAGGCCAGGCCTTTCTGCCACCCACTCCCTATAGACACAGGACAGAACAGACACAGAAAGTGTCCAGGTGATTCCAAAGCTATTTCAGGGTCTATTGTCAAATCAGCACCAATAATTTTTGATTCCTGTCTGACATTAGTGTATTTTAGAACTGGGCTACCGTGACATCAACTTCCACTCAGCACTGTTAGTTTACATCTGTCTGTAAGATAAATTCCTCCAGCCTAATCTGACAAAACTGATGAACCAGAGCTTGTCTCCAAAGGAGGGAAGCACTCTGCATCTCTGGGGTCTGGGGATCCAGGAGCAGGAGTAGCATCCCTGCTCAGTCTACAGAGTGAAGAATAACAGAAGAGCCTTGGTGTTTTTATAAGGGAGATGGATGTCCTGCAAGCTCACAAGACAGGCTCTGAACACAGCAGTGCTGCAGCATATTAGAAAATAAGTCTGGCTTGTTCCACCTTTCTGCACTCTAACTCCCCATTGTAACAGATGACACAATTAAAAATAGAAAAGGATGTGGTATCACGAAGGATTGGGATATATCTGTGCCTGTTTAATGGAACATATGGTGGAATATTTTTACATCTTATAAAGGACTGTGTATTGGACATGTGCTGCTGCTTGGGAGACGCAGCAGCAGAAAAGCTGCATTAATATTTGCTCTGTGACAAGAGTTGCTGCCACACACCCTGTACAGGCACAGAAGTCATCAGCAGGACAGCACACAAGTGACTGGGAAACCTTTCATTATACGCACCATTGGAGTTAATTCGGAACACGTTGGCTGAAGTCTCCTGAAAAAGCTCCTGCAGTTCGCTGGGATCAATCTGGGTGGCTGTGGAGACAAAACCAGAAGAGATGTTTTAATACTGGAGGCCACTGATCACTTTGAAAAGGGGATGAGCCTTTGAAAAGGGGGTGCAGGTTCCTCCCTGCTGCAGAAATTTGGCCCAGGGAGGGTGGTTTGCTGTAGTTTTACACAGTGTCTGACTGTGCAGCTTGCACTGGACTGGCAAAACAGCCCCCCAGGACAGTGAAGATGCTGCTGCAGCACAGTGGATAAGGAAGATTGAGACAGCATTTGTAGGAATTATTAGCAACTGGAAGCTCAGTTATCAAGTGGGAATATCAGAACCCCAACTGAATGAGAAACCACAATCACAGCATCACTTAACCATCACTTCCCAGAGCAGGAGGGCACGTGAGCATCTCCTGCCTTCATAAAGAGGGAGGAAGCAGCAAGCAGAGTGCAGTACTCCATGGGCTGAAAACTTTTGGGACTTCTAACCCCCAAGAGATGCTCCTCTTCTTCCTATTTCTTCCTGATAGCCCAACTGCAAGGGGCAGCGAGTCAGTGTCAGGAAGTGCTATTGCAATTGCAATTGCTGCTGTGGTTATGAGGGTTTTTTTTTTAAGCTTCATTTCTTCATTTCCCAACTTTAAACCCTCTGAAATCATCCCAAGCTTCTCCACAGCTGCATCATCTCCTGACAAGGAGCAATGTGAGGTTGGCTGACCTGGGCTATACTATAGAATCATAGACTCAGAGAATGGATTGGGTTGGAAGGGACCATTTAGCTCCAATCCTCCAACCCCCCTGCCATGGGCAGGGACACTTCCCACTAGACCAGGTAACTCTGAGCCCCATCCAGCCTTGAACACTTCCAGGGAGGGGTATCTACAGCTTCTCTGGGCAACCTGTGCCAGGGCCTCACCATCCTTATAGTAAAGAATTTCTTCCTAATATCTAATATAAATCTACCCTTCCTTCAGCTTAAGGCCATTAATTATGGCCATATTACAGAGAAAGGATACATCACTTAAAGAAGGTTCAAACTGGTAGCTTTACAGATGGTTTAGCCCTAACCTGTTGCCCAGGTGTGTCAGCTCTTACAGGCTTCCCAGAAGCTGCTCTACCTAAAACTTTGGTCATATCCAAAAGCACCCCAGGGTTTGTACGCTCGACACACTACAGTGCATTCAAACAGCCCCTGCTACCAGCAAGATGCTCCTCTGAGACAAAGTATGACAGAGACTCAGAGAGGAGCTATGATTCACATCTTCAGCTTTTGTAACACACCCTGCATCCCTCAACCAGTTTTCCCTAAGCTGTTAAAAAAACCAACCTGTGCTTGGAAGAGCAGAAAGTCAGTGATGGAGCAAGGTAAAAACCCGGGAAAATGGAATAAAATGAGAACTCCACTTGATGCACTGCTCAGGTTAGTCCTGAGGATGCATCTCCTGGCACTTGAGGACAAGCTCCACATCCAAAGGCCAGATTTTCCACTGCTTCTCACACTCATGTGAGAGGGTTCAGCCCTGGAACAGCTGTAAATAAAGTCATGGATCAGCCTCTCAGGTTGACACAAATCCAGGGTATTAAAGGGTGTTTAATCCAAATGCACAGGGGCTCATTGCTAGAGATTTTCCCACTCTGGACTCTTCTCTTCCTGCAGTTCCTCCTAAATCAACTGTCCCAGACACTCCTTTCCCTTGCTTTATAGAGTCTGTACAACACCAGAAACGAGTTGGAGCTCCCCCATCCCTGGGGAATTTCCCTTGTTACCAACAAGATCCAGCTCTCATTAAATCACTGGCAAAAGAGCACCACAGGATAAGATTTTTACCTCTTTACATCCAGTGATGACCCCCATTTCAGGAGGTTTTCCTTGGATTACCAGGGTGCTGACATGCTCCAGGTTAGTTATGGGAAGATGAGCAGCCAGGACATGGCTTCAGCTTGGCTGAATACCCAATTGCATGTGCTGAGAGGGCTGGGCCACACATTTTGTGACAAGAGATTTTTTTGGATGGGTGGTGGGTCTTTTTGGTTGGTTGTTTTGGTGGTGTTTGTTTGTTTGTTTTGTTTTTTTTGAGGGGAGGGTTTTTTGTGTGGTTGTTTTTTTACCTCTTTATTTGCATTCTTTCCTTAGAAACACTGAATTTACCTTAACAGATTTTTAGCCTGGCCCAGTGATCCTGGGTCCATGTGCACTCAGGTGTGGAACACAGCCCCAGACAAACCATGAGAAACCAAACTAACAGCTGGAAACTCCTTCAAATCACCAATTATTGCATTAAAGCTCCCAAAATAATGCACACTGCAGACTTCAGTGTGTTTCCACATGGGGACACTCCTGCAGCTTCACATCATCCATCAGTGTGGAGACATTTAAAATGCCCAAACTACCCCAAAAGTAAAGATGAAATATCCCAAGTGTTGCAAAGGGCTGCAGAAGCACCAATTTCATTCCAAGGACTGCCACTTTGATTCCAAGGAAGGCACACCTGTATTTTGGGAGTCCCTGTGACACTGTGAGAAAGAAACACTGAGCGACACTACGAGTCCAGAGTTGTTCCATGAAGTTCAAAACTACCCAGAAATTCAGGTGCTAATTTGGGAGGGTGAGATTTATTTAAATTAATTGCTGGGAGACCATTTTTCTCACCCTGTACCTCATTTCCCTAATGGAAGAGAGGGAAAACTCAACAGGACAATGTGGGAGGATCATACTGTGAAGACATGGAAATAACTTAATTTTTGAAGCCTCTGTATATTCATCTTAATCAAATGCAAGAGGACTGTGAGAAGATGAACTCCCCCTTGAAGGCCTGAAATCTCAATCCATAAATATCACCCCCACAACTCAGAAAAACCCCTCAAATTAAATTTAATCAAAAAAAAAAAAAAATCAAGGCAGACAAAACCTTTGACCAGAATTTCCAAACAATTACTATGAAAACGCAGCTCTTGGAGAATGGCTGAGAAAACCACCACAGAATGTGGCTTCCAGTTCCCTGCCCCTGGACTTTTATTTGATGTCACAGCCAGTTCTGGTTTTATTTTGTTTTTTATTTTATGAAAGGAAAGAAAGCAGTAACCAGGAAGTTGTTTTAACTACTCCAGTTTCGAGCTTCAACACATCAAGGCGAGATGTTACAGCTACTCATGGAGGATTCAGCAGCTCAAGCAGACAAGCAAAACAATTTAAAAACAGCAGCAGAAAGCAAAGCAAAAGTGCATCTGTACTGCCAAGCTAAGGCAGACAACCCAAGGCTGAGAAGGAAAGTGAATGTGAAGTACATTTGTGCCTAACAAAAAACTAAACATCTTTGATTGCATCAAGGAAATGCTAAAATATTATGATTCCCCAAGAGGGAGTATGAGGGTTCTGATGTGCATTAAATGCTGATATGCATTAAATACATGTCCTGACACTATGAGAGTTCAGGGTCACACCTGGGAAAAAAATGACTTTTATTTACACTGTGGGTCCTGAAGGCTGGGAAGGTTTTGCAGTGGATAAGTTACAGAATCCCCATGCAAATCATTTCTCCTTCACTTCCTTAACTGGACAGCTCCAAAAACATTTCTACACTTTCCATTTACTTTCCTCATTTTTTTTTCCAGGAAAACCCCCTTGGCAGGAGACAGAACAACCCAACTTGCTCTGCTGTCAGCTCAGCCTTGTCCCCACTCAGCAAATAGTGATGACCTGTTGTGTTTATTGCAACTCACAGAAATCACAGAATGGTTTGGGTTGGAAGGGACCTTAAAGAGGTCATTCCAAGCCTCCCACCATGGGCAGGGACATCTTCCACTAGACCAGGTCACTCAACTCCCCATCCAACCAATTCCTAAAGCAGCAGCACCCAACAGTGGCATTTATCTGCCCAATTAAATCTTATTTCTGCCCGTGTAACTCTTATTTCTTTTGCCTGAAAAGCTGCACAGACACCCAGGTAGGTGCAAGAGATGGAAAGATGAGCTTTTCAACCCATCCCCTGTCAAAGCAAAGTGTGTCAACACACACCCTGGCCAACTGCAAGGGGAGGCCTCACCTGGGAAAGGGGTCATATGGAGATGATTTAACTTGAGTGTGGCAGCCTGACCATGACTGGACAGCAGGTGCCCTCCAAAGCTGCTCTGCCACTCCCCTCCTCAGCCAGACAGGAGGAGAAAATATGACAAAAGGTTTTGTGGGTTGAGATAAGGACAGGGAGAGGTCACTCAACAGTTACTGTCACAGACAAAACAGAATTGACTTGGGGAAATAAATTGAATTTATTACCAATCGAAACACAGTGTAGGATAATGAAAAATTGTCTTAAAACAGATTCACCCCTCTCTTCTTCCCAGGCTCAGCTTCACTCCAGATTTTCTCTACCTCCTCCCTTCCAGTGGTGATGGGACAGGGAATGAGGGCTGTCATCAGTTCATGACACACTGTGCACCTTCCTCCTCTGGGGGAGGATTCTGGATTCTTCCCACTCTTCCCCTGCTCCAGTGCTGGGTGCTACTCAAGGAGGCACTGCTCTATCACAAGTCCTTTCCACAGGACTTCAGCAAGTTTAAACCTGCACATGCAGCACCATCTTAATGCCTTTCTGCTATGAGGAGACGGAATCTTGACCTCTTTGCTACCTCCTTGCACTTTGGATCAATGCCAAAAAAAAAGAAAAAAAAACCCCAAAACCTGAATCATGGAATCATTTAGGTTGGAAAAGACCTTTAGGATCAAGTCCAACCATTAGCCCAGCACTGCCAAATCCATCCCTAAACTCTGTGTCTAAGGAAAACATCTACACATCCTCTAAATCCCTGAAGGGATAGTGAGTCAATCACTTCCTTGGACAGCTTCTTCCAACAGCTGGACAACTCTTTCAGTGAAGAAATTGTTCCTGATATCCAACACAAACCTCCCCTGGCAAATCTTGAGGCCATTTGCTCTTGTTCTATCACTTGCTACTTGGGAGAAGAGACCAAACCCCACGTGGTTGAGAACCTTCAAAATCCATACAAGCCTTACACAGGATTTTTGCCACCACTATTGC